AAACACTTGTTCCACACACAAAAAAAATGAGGGGGCGTGGCATTACTCTTTTGTTATTTTCATTTTTATAAGGGGGTTTTTGAGATCCTTGTAAGCCGCCTCGAGTCGCCATGCGCGCGTCGGTGGCAATACAACTTTTCTGAATAAATAAATTGCTCATATTAATAAAGGAGAATATTTGTTGCTCAGGATTGACATTGAGGCAGTCCTTGGTGCTCTCTGAGCTGGCTTGTTTTCTTGCAGACGTTTCCTTAACCAAACTGGGCAACATCATCAGTGCACTGATGCTATCTAGTTTGGGTAAGGAAACGTTTGCAAGAAAACAAGCCAGCTCAGAGAGCACCAAGGACCCCTCACAGCTCATATTCCCCATTCCCAGGGATGGCCTTCACAATTTTTAGCAACCGGTTCTCTGTCTGGTTGCTTGGTGGGCGTGACTTAGTTCGTCTCCTGCACCACGTCGGGTGGGGCATTTTTGCCTTCCTGGGGTCTGTTCCCAGCCCTGGGAGGGGAGGAGTAGGCGGGACCAGCCAAAAGTGAGATCCGGGGGTTCTCTGAACTGCACAGAATCTTAGCTAGAGGTTCTCCTGAACCCCTGCAAACCCCCAGCAGCCCACTCCTCCTTAGAATAAGTGGAGAAATACTTTTCCACAAAAGAAGTCTTTTTTGAGAAGCAGAAAAAGAGAAAGCATCAGAGGAAGCATTATCTATGAGGCCAACAGAAGAGATTGTTTGTGGCTTAGGGTTGAAATGAGGAGTCCTTCATGCTCTCTGCGCTTTGTTGTTTCCTTAAGAGACATCTCATTACCCAACTAGGTAACGTCTTCAGTGCTACTGTTGTTACTTAGCTGAGTAATGAAACGTCTGCTAAAAAAAACCAACCAAGCTCAGAGAGCACCAAGGACTCCACATTTTCTGTGATGTCTTGCTGGACCAGGGTAGGAAATGGCTCTTAAGAGAGCGCCTGACAACTTGCATTTCACTGGTAACACTCCAATTGAAAATTCGAAAAACGCTTTGTAGCCTCCTTTGAAGACAGGTAGTCCTCAACTTATAACCATTGGTTTAGCAACGGTTCAAAGTTGCAACAGCACTAAAAAAAAAGCACTAATTTACATCCAGTCCTTACACTTAGTAACCATTACAGCATCCCTACCGTCATGTGATCAGAATTAATCAACCAGCACGTGTTTATAGCAGTTGCAGTGTCCCAGGGTCACGTGATCACCATTTGCAACCTTCCCAGCGGATTTCTGACAAAGTCAATGGGGGAAGCCAAAGTCAGTTAATGACCAGGTGATTTACTTAACAACCGCAGCGAGTCACTTAGCAACAGTAAAATTCGGTGCAACTCACAACTGACTCGCTTAGCGTTGGAAATTCTAGTCCCGATTGTAAGCTTGGGACTACTGATAAGCATTTTTAATTGGAACCAGTTGATTGAACAACTGTAGTCTTATTCTGAGTTTGTCTTTAGCAGTTGACTAGATCAGTTATCCTCCAGAGTTGCTAATTTAATATCAGGTAGTAGAAAACATATAAAAATTATAATTGTAGGGTGTGAAGAAAAAATTCAAGAATTTGGGTGCCTAGTTTAATGAAAAGAAGGACTGGGGGAGAAATGATAGCAGTGTTCCAAAATGTGAGGAGATGCCACAAAGAAGAGGGAGTCAACCTATTCTCCAAAGCACCTGAGGGCAGAACAAGAAGCAATGGGTGGAAACTAATCAAGGAGAGAAGCAACTTAGAACTGAGGAGAAATTTCCTGACAGAACAATTAATCAGTAGAATGATTTGCCTCCAGAAGTTGAGGGTATTCAATCACTGGAGGTTTTTTAAAGAAGAGATTGGTCATGCATCTGTCTGAAATGGTATAGGGTCTCTTGCTTGAGCAAAGGGTTGGACTAGAAGACCTCCGAGGTCCCTTCCAACTCTGTTATTCTGTTAATTATCCTTAACTTAGTTCCTGGCATCTCCATGCAAAAGTATTAGAATTACCAAAGGCATTTTCCTCTGGCAGGATATTGACCTTTAGCTGTCTTATAGAGAAGAGAATAATTGGGTTCACACAACATTCTGTCCCCTAACCCATTTTAACAAAACAATGTGCCATTTCTAGGTTCCCATAACATATTACGTTGGAAATAAAAAACCATATATGGGCTAAATGTGATATCCTGGTTTGAACATGATGAGCCAGACTACTCACCCGCTTTCCAGTCTAGTTAAATATGTTGTGTGAATCCGGTCTGTGGTCCTTCCAGATATTTCTGGACTGCAGCTCATGCTATCTCTGATCATTGGGCAGACTGGCTCAAAACAGAGGAATGGAAATTACAGCTAGATAGACCCAGAATGCCTAATGGAGATAAGCCAATGACCTGACTTCTCACTAGACAGTTGGCTGTGCCCATCAGGGGCATTCTTCATTCAGCCAAGACCTTGGAGTGACCCTCAAGTTGATCCGGCCTTCCCCAGTTTGAAGCCTTCCAGATGGGCTGGATCTCATCCTGGCACATCTGGATGATATCAAGCAAGACTGTTTGTCTATCAACTCTGGCTTGTGGGGACTGTTCAATTATTTTCTAGAATGGAGACTTCTCTTTCAGCCTTTGTGGGCAGCACACTTAGAAGGGGAAAGAAGTATCAAATACGTCCATATAGAACCATGATGGCGAACCTATGGCATGCGTGCCACAGGTGGCATGCAGAGCCCTCTCAGTGGACACGCCAGCCGTCACCCCAGCCCAGCTCCATCGTGCGTGCATGCACGCCTCCCACTGGCCAGCTGGTCTTAGGGTCTCTACCGCACATGTGCGGGGGACAAGGTGCATATGCATGGAGGGGTGCATGGGGAGGGTGATACGTGCATTGCATTATGCGTGTGGGCTTTTGGTATGTGATGACAAAAAAGGCTAGCCATAGAAGGACCAATATAAGGCAACTCCCAAGGCTGTGGGGGAAAAGAGGTGAACACACACATACACACACACTGCTAGAAGTTGGAGTGTGTTGGTCCTTCCTCCCTCTTCCCACTGCTTAGGTTAATCTGCCCCTTACCTGCTCAGGAACTGGTTATTGCTTCATTTAGATAACACGCCTGATAGAAGGTTGGGGAAAGCTATGCTAACAGCTGTGCTTCTACCTGTTCTTTGGGGAAGGGCAAAAATCTACCTTTGCCCTTTTTGGAATGATTCCTAAGTGAACATAACTGAGGTCTTTTAGAAATGCGTTTCTAACTGATCATCTGCATTCATTTTAAGAATCCACTTCTTTGACTCTTACGGGATCAGGCTTCATCTGTGAAATGCGATCCCCTAGAGATGACCTTCTGAAAACGTTGATAGCCAATCGAAGATGTTTTCATTTCCTAGGAATTTGAAGAACTATTTCATGATACTAGAACATTAGGGGCTTCCTTGCTGCTTTATTCTGATTTTTATGCTTTAATTTATTGCCTTGATTATTGCCGCTTCTGATTTTTATCTTATCGTTGCAACTTGCACTCTGGGTGGGTTTTTCTATTGTTTGCATAGTGGTTTTTAAATGGCAAACAGACCCAAGATAGGCAGGCCAATAATTTAACCCTGCAGAAGATTTATTGCCTATCCAGCAATTGCAAAAAAATAAATAAAAATAGCAACAGTTTTTGCAAACAGTTTGAAGAGCTCACTGATGAAATACGACAGCTTTGTTTCATTTTGGATTTTGGCGAGATAGCTAAATCTGTGGCGGTACCTCTCAGAATGTTTTTAATTGCTGAATTATTTCCCTTTCTCCCCACACCCATGTTCTCCCATGTTTAATCTTGTTGTTGTTTGCTTTCTTTTTTCTAGATGTTTCCCTTGCCAGTGACTAATGGAAAAAACAGACCCACGACTCTTGGTAGCACGCAGTTTGGTGGATCAGGTATTGCTTAACGTTCTCTTCCCTTTGGGGAGAAATAGCCCAAGCTCTTTTAATATAGATGTAACACGTTTTCTAATATTGAGACTATGGTTAAAAATCTGGTCCAGTGACTTAAGGCTTCCTTTCCCCCCAGTTAAACACCACTGTTTCTTTTTTTCTTTTTTGTTTGCCTTGATCTCATCTGGAGGGCTGTTCACATAAAAGATTATCTGGAGCAGGGATCTAAGGAATAAAATGACATCCTGCTATTTTGACTCTGCTATGGTTGTGCTTTTTTAAAAATATGTGGGCTTTTTTGAAAATGTACATCTTTACGCAGTGATGATATTACCTAGTTTGGGTAATGAAACATCTGCGAGAAGAACAACCAAGCTCAGAGAGCACCAAGGAACCCCCTCATTTCAACCCTGAGCTTTTATTGGCACTTCCTTATTTAGCGAAGCGTTCATATTTTATAAGCCAATGGGCATATTCTTCTTCTTTGCTTTGCTTTTTAAAAGAATTGAATTGAATTGAATTTATTGCATTTATATACCACCCTTTTCCCCGAAGGGGACTCAGGGCGGCTCACAATCCAAGTCAAGGGAAGCGGGTACAGATAAGGGATAAAAAAG